GATGCTGGGATGGGGTTACTTACCAACACATTGCCTTGTCCTTAAAAAAAAACAAACCATTCCCTGCTAACACTGACAGCCTGGAAGGGTTGGAGCAGAGGGGAGCAGCCAGCTGTGCTCCTGCCTCAGCTTCCCCACCTGTGAAAAGGGGAGAAGGTGCCTTGCTTGGTGGGAGACCAGTGTTTTTGTGATGGTCCCAGCTCCCGGCTGAGGGGTCCCTCGAGGCTCGGCCTGGCTTGTTGGCCACTCTGTTATTAATGCCAGTAATGGTATAGGAAGGATAAATTCCACCACTTGGCTGAACAGAGAAAATATGCAGAGAAGTGGCTGGCTTTCCATAAATCATCAGTGCTCCGTGCTACAACCGAGCCAGGACTTAAAATTCAGGTCAGGAGAGAGGGACTCTCGTAAGCCAGCAAGGGAAGGTAATTTATTCTGTTTATATCGTTTTACTGCAAGACAAGGGGGGGCGAAAACCTCTGCCATGATTTTGCATTTTAAATATTGGTTCAGAGCTGCAGCCTGCCTTGGACTTTTTATTTTTGTACCTCAGAAATCGAGGGACAGGAATCATGAGAGAGGAGGGGAGTGAACTGGGGTGCTGGGGGAGGAGAACCCCCTGATGCCCTCGGTACCCCTTAGGGTAAATGGGGCAAAAGCTGCCGATGGCATCGATGGACCTCCCCTTTGGGAATGTCCCCTGTTGGTGTCCCCCTGCAGCAGCCCTACTGACCCCCATGGCTGCTCCATGGGGATGCTCTGCCAGCAGGGCTGTGGGTGCCCCTGGGTTGCCTGGATGGGCCTTGGGGGGTTCAAACAACACGTGCCAGCGGGGAGAAAGGAATCGTGCATTGGGCTGTCTGTTGTGGGGGAAGGTGCTGAGCTGGGTAATGTGCCCCCTCCCAGTGCCAGAGAGCTGGAGGAGTGGGGGAATGGGGGGACTGGGGTACCATGGGGGTGATGCAGCAGCATCACCTTGTACAGGGGCCACGGAGCCTGTTACACCCAGGGGAGTGATGGGGGGCTGCTCCCCCTGGCCCCACACAGGGCTGGGGGGCAATGGTGGGGCAGGGCAGCCCTGCCAGCAGCGCTCGTGGTCTTGTCTTAAAAATAAAACAAAATAAAATAAAATGAAAGGGACAGGTGACCGAACAGTAGGTAACTAAAAGGTTTTTTATTCACATTGAACAACAAGAGCCATTCACACTAACAGCCTCTGCAAGAGGCAGCGGGGACAGGAAACCCACGACGCTTTCAGAAAACAACTTTTTTTCCTTTCCTTTTCCATTCTCCTTCCTTTTTTTATCGCCCCCTCTCTATCCTCTCACCCCCCTCCCCGGTGCCACCCCCTCCCTGCCTTCAAAATAGAAAAATTCGGAGCCTCCGATGACTAAAGTACAATAAATAATCAGTAAACACAAAAACATACTTTATTTGTTTCTCCTTTATACAAAATAAAGAAACTAGAAGCAAAAACTATAATACATCCTTAAATTGTCGGAGCCTCTGGGAATTGTTGGGGTGGGACTCGGCATCGAGGCTCAGGTGTAATTTCTGCTGTTGTGGTTGAGTTAGTTCTGGGGTTTATTGGTTTTTTGTTGTTGTGTTTTTCCTGTTTCTGCCTCTTTCTGGTGTCTTTTCCACCACGTGGGAGCCCAATCTCAGCCAGTCACTGGGGCAGCCCTGGGCCTGGCCCCCCCCCCCACGACCCCCCTTCTCCCCATCACCAAAAACCGTGTCCAAACCCACCTTCTCCTCGGGGATAAAATGGGAACAATAAAAATAAGGGCAGGGAGAGGGGCCGCGGGGGTTATTCCTGCTGTTCCCCATTCCCCCCCTCCCACGACGTGGCAGGGGATAATTAAAAAGGATGCTAATTAGCAGGGGGAAGCCCTGCCCCAGCCCCTCCTCCCCTGGTGCCACCGGGGCGGTGGGACCTGTGTCCAGGCGAGTTCAGCTTTGGTCCAAGAGGTGGTCCCGACACCGGCGGGGGTCTTCAGGGCTGGGCACCATTCATTGTTCCCCCCCCCAAGTATTGGGG